TCTGTACCAGGACTGTTGTAGCTAACTGATGACATAACTAATTAAGTTTTTGTTATTAACTATTTTAGACTCTCTCTCAGAGAGCAGCTCCTCAGGGGACAGTGAATATTCTTCAGACTGCGACTCCTCCTCCTCCTCCTTCTCAGAGACTTTTGAGGACTCTTCCTTTTCCGACCTCTATCCAGAGGATGAAGACACGGTGGACGGTGTGAAGACAAGAATCTTGACGTTGACTTCAGATGAGGAGTCGGTGGATCTGGAGCCTCCCCTGAACTCTGCAGCTCCACTGACACCGGTCGCTCACTTGGACCTGTGTCTGCAGGACTGGTCAGAACCGTACCAGAGGTCGGACACCAGGTCGGACAAGGAACCATATTTATCCTGTCAACGGGACATAGATGGTTTTGACGCTCTGATGGAACTGAAAACCAGCCGGCACCAGGATCCTCCGTCCCCTCTAGAACTCTCAGGTAACACGTCGGCAGAAAAATCTCAAACAATTTAAATTCAGGGCTCAAGTGATACAATCGTAATTTTTTTTTTAGTTTTTACAGTCGAACCAGACCTGGACGTTGACATCACGAGTCACGAGTCTCCAGAACACGGTGACAACCTGAAACCCGCGACACCGACAGGATACCTGGGGGACAGCGACCCTGACATTCTGATTAAGAGCAAACCAGCGTCCTCTGCTGTGCAGGAGGTGGAATGTCCACAAACACCAGGCAAAGCAACAGTGCCTGAACTGGAGGGGGAGGACTCGGGGGACGCCAGTGAATATGGTTCCCTCTCCCCCCTTGTGAGCATCGACCTCGTGGAAGTTCACGCGCACTTCCCCCTGGCTTCGTTTGACATTTACCAGGAAGTGCCTAAAACCCCTGGTAGAGAGGAGACCAGCGCCTGGACGCAGTTCAGTTCCTTGAGAGCTCCGGCTACATCCGGGAAACACACGCTACTGTCCGAGGGCTCACCCCTGAGCAGCCCCCTGGCTGTACCGCCCCTGTCCACTAATCCGTATGTATTAGCCCCAAAGACCCCCGGGAGAGACATTTTTCTACCACGTAAAGCACTGGTCCACAAGAGGACACACACGCCCACTCTGCCGGACTCACCGTCCGTGTTGAGCGATGACGGTCTTGGGGCCGTGTCCTCGCCGTGCAGCCTCTCAGAACCGTCTCCAGACACTGTCCACGGGTCCACGCAAGTGTGGACCAGTTCCAGAACGAAACCGTTACAGGGTCTGGAGAATGTGCCGGGCCTTTGGCACGAGGACAAGAACTTTTTAAGGATAAAACAGTGGACGAAGGCAACGAGGAGATGGAGAGTCTACCACGGCCACCAATGGAGCAAAAGGACTCATCCCTACAGGGGGCGCTCTCTACGGGAGGAAAGGAGAATCCTTCACAGCCTTTGGAGGGAGGGTCTGGACGAAGAAGACGCCGGGTTGCTGAGGTCCACCTACGACAGGCTGCAGGACCAGGACGACGGCTGCGGGTGGCTCACCGACACCCTCTGGATCCCTCACCCTCATATCCTTCAAATATATAAATATATAACCTCAGTGGACGTCACAGTTTGGACGTGATGATAAAATTAGTCCAAAAAACCCTGAAATATTTGTACATATATATAAAATTCTTCCCTTTACACCCACATATATGTATTTATATGTGTGTATATATATATATGTGTAAGGAAAGATTATATATGTGAGGGAAGAATTTTATATATGTACATATATAAAATTCTTCCCTATATATATTCTATACATGTACATATATATGTACATGTATAGAATTCTTCCCTTTACACCCACATATATGTATTTATAT